AATTTTGATAGATTATATAGCTAAGAAGACTGAGTTTTAAATTTTATCTTCTATACTTGTGGTTAATATCTCAGTTTCATTTTTTGAAACAGACTTAAATTAACTGGTCCAGTTCTAAAAGCTACTATACTATAGAAAGCTTGACATATTTGAAACCTACAGATACGTAAACTAAGTCTGTAAATCAAAATGCTACCATAGTTTGATTATACATGTTAGTAGAAGTAACTTAGATTTTTGAGAAAAAAGCATTTTGAGAAAGAAAAGAATTATATTTGCTGTTCATAATGGCATCATCATTAACATTTTTAATAAATAACTACAGTTTGTAATAACTGCTCTATTCCAGGGCAGTAACTATATGCTTTAGTTCTCATAATAAATTCCTCGAGGTCACAGATAAGTAGATTCAAGTTTAGGTATTAAAGTGATCTGTTTAAATTCTTAGAACTAATAAATGGTTGAGCTAGAATTTAAACAAATGTAGTTTGAGCTCCTACTCTGTGCCAGGGTCTGTGCTGAACACTGGCAAGACTAAGATGATCCCTCTGCCCTCATGGAAATAGTGCCGAGGAAGTCTAACTACACATCTTATGCTCCCTTGGCAGTCAGGTGAAGTAATATGAGTGAGGACATAGCAGGCTGCTAGTTGTCTGCTTTTGTTTTTACCAGTCGACAGCTCTGGTTTCATCTGGATTATGAGCTTTAGGAATGTTACCCCACCCATCATAATTTATACCTCATCTTGAGTCATGACTCTGGGTTAGTATTCCAGAATAAAGTAAACATAAATGCAAAAAGTGTGGATAGCACAAGTATGATCTGTCTTCAAGTTATACAACTATAGGAAAGTATTCCAGCTTTCTCTGATAACATTATATGTACATGTACATGTCTGATCCTTAAAACAATCCTCTTAATTAGGGTATTAGTGTCTGCATTTTAAAAGATGACAGATATTTAATTAGTTTATTTGCTGATACCCCATCCTCTGTAAAAGTATTAACCACAAACTAGCTATTTTGTGTAAGGATCAGTATAATTGCATTGTATTAGACATTCAAACACAATATGAAATAAGATAAACAATGAAAATTTTTTAGGAGTAATGTCTATTCATTTTCATAGTATCCTGGCAGGGACATGATGACAATGATTATACTCCTTTCCAAATTGGGGAGAAGAATCTATGGTATTTATATCTTTATTAGATGGCAATAATTCTGTCTAAAGAGTTTAACTTTTTCTTTTCCAAAGATTATGACAATGAGGAGATCTTAACCTATGAGGAAATGTCACTTTATCATCAGCCAGCAAATAGGAAAAGACCTATTATCTTGATTGGTCCACAGAACTGTGGCCAGAATGAATTGCGTCAGAGGCTCATGAACAAAGAAAAGGACCGCTTTGCATCTGCAGTTCCTCGTAAGTTTGGATGCATTCCCATTTTCCTGTGCTTTTCAATTTACCACCTCAGAATCTAACTACATTATGTAGGGAAACTTTTCATCCATTTCATCAAAACAATGTTGTCAGTGAAAGAGGAAGTTTTGTTTAATCAAATATTTTGACAAAAGATAGTTGTTCTTAAGAAATTTGAATTTTTCCTTGGAGTATGGTATGTGCTAATTATTTTCTGAATGAATTTCAATTTGGACCCCTTATTTCCTATTCAACAGGGAATCAGCTCCTGCTTCTTTAAACTGATGCTGAGCATATAAACTTAGATATAATCTTTGAAAGCAGAAGTTCTGTTTTAAGATTATGTAGTACCTAAGCTTATGGAAATAAACTTCAGGAAGAGATGAGTGGTAGTGTTTTAAATGCAAGATGAGGTAATTTAAAGTGTAAGCATAAAATGTATTAAGGTAATATAATGATTTAATACTAATATTAAGGTAATACAAACACATTCTTGTTGATTTTTGAATCTAGAAATAAAAAAATGTTAAACACAGACTCTTAGTATTTCTTCAATTCATTATTTCATAATCTGTGTTACAAAATAAAATTCTTTCTGACTAGCAGAATTATCCCCATCCTCACTCTCATCTATACCAGTTATTTTTATCTGATTTTGTTTGTCTAGATACAACTCGGAGTAGGAGAGACCATGAAGTAGCTGGTAGAGATTACCACTTTGTTTCACGGCAAGCATTTGAGGCAGACATAGCAGCTGGAAAGTTCATTGAGCATGGTGAATTTGAGAAGAATTTGTATGGAACCAGCATAGATTCTGTACGGCAAGTGATCAACTCTGGAAAAATATGTCTTTTAAGTCTTCGTACACAGGTAAAGCTAGAATTTTGGTTTAGAGTTTGAACTTAGAGGGCGTGTCATGCAAAGTAATCTAGTGGAAACTGTATTTTGGATTTCAGATTTTGAAATTAGGGATGTTCAGCCTGTACATGTATATATTTTCTGAAACTTAAAATACAACAAATATAGGGCTGGTATTATTTTAAGTATTTTGGAGGCTATGAAAGAATTTCCCTTTTCCAATTCTGATCTGAGAAAAATTAGAGATTGTTCTTATGGATTTAAATGCCATTGTTGAAGTATTAGCAAGTGTCACAATGAATGCTCAGTTGTATGTAATAATGAAATCTGAGTCAGTTTTGATTATTTGGCAGACTAAGCAAAAATGTCAGATTATTAACCAGTGCCTCTTAGATGCCTATTTAAAAAGATAAAGTAATTTTAGAAATTTGGGGTTTTTAAGATTGTGTTTGTTAAGGAAATTTCTAAACTTTTTCTAGGTTGCACAGGTTAAGCGTAAAACTTTGCTCAACGTGGTAGAATCGGCTGCTTGTGTCAACTCAGGCAACATAGTCAACATCAAAAAGATGTACTAAAGGAGAATTGATTCTAAAATGTCTATTCTAAAATAGCAATTAGGGGGTTCGGGGATTTGTTTTTTTAGTAGACAAATGCACTTAGGCTTTGACTCTTTGAATTATAAACATTTGATTTCAAAGAAGTGTAAATGTTTTTACTAAATTCCTTCTAAATTCTTTATATTATTTGGGCTAACATATTTTAACAAAGAACTCAGAGTAGTGGAGCATATAGTTTTATTCATCTTAATTCTTTTTAGATAGAAAAGGGCATATCCCTGTAATCTCCATTTTGGTAGAGTACTTCAGTTTGAGGATACATAGTCATGCAGTGGTACAGACAAAGTGAAAACCATAATCTCCTAATTCAAACAGATTCTGCCTTTTCTTGGATGTACGGTTCCAGAATTTTCTTTGGCATGTGTATGTGAAATTTTTCTCTGATTTTGCTTATATTTAGTGCCTGGCACATAGTAAGGCAACTGCCTCGATTCTACCTCTGAAATTAATTTTTAATATAGTTATTATAGGCCGGGTGCAGTGGCTGACGCCTGTAATCCTAGCTCTCTGGGAGGCCGAGGCGGGCGGATTGTTTGAGCTCAGGAGTTCGAAACCAGCCTGAGCAAGAGCAAGACCCCGTCTCTACTAAAAATAGAAAGAAATTAATTGGACAACTAAAAATATATAGAAAAAAGTAGCCGGGCATGGTGGCGCATGCCTGTAGTCCCAGCTACTCAGGAGGCTGAGGCAGGAGGATCGCTTGAGCCCAGGAGTTTGAGGTTGCTGTGAGCTAGGATGATGCCACGGCACTCTAGCTCAGGCAACACAGTGAGACTCTGTCTCAAAAAAAAAAAAAAAAAAAATATATATATATATATAGTTATTATAATCTGTAAGTGATCTTATTAGCAGAGTATTTTAGCATCACATAATTGCCATCCTTCAGTGTCATTCACTTATGTTTCATTACATAAAAGAGCAAACTACACAATATATTCTTACAGTGAATGATAGGGTCTTATGTGAATTGTTTGTTATGAAGATGTTTGGAATGGAACAGGATGGAGAACCCAGACATAAAACCATCCTCACATAGCCATCTGATCTTTGACAAAGCAGACAAGAACATACACTGGGGAAAAGAATCCCTGTTCAATAAATGATGCTGGGAAAGCTGGATAGCAACATGTAGAAGACCGAAACAGGATCCTCACCACTCAACTCTCACAAAAATCAACTCACAATGGATAACAGACTTAAACCTAAGACATGAAACCATAAGAATTCTAGAAGGAAATGTTGGAAAAACTCTTACAGACATTGGCAAAGAATTTATAAAGAAGACCCCAAAGCAATCACAGCAACAACAAAAATAAATAAATGTGACCTGATCAAATTAAAAAGCTTCTGCACAGCTAAAGAAACTATCACTATAATGAATAGACAGCCTACAAAATGGGAGAAAATATTTGCATGCCATATATCCGATAAAGGGCTAATAACCAGAATCTATATAGAACTCAGGAAAATCTATAAAAACAAAATCAAACAACCCCATTAAAAAGCAGGCAAAGGACATGAACAGAAACTTTGCAAAAGGAGATAGACTAATGGCCAAAAAACATGAAAGAATGCTCAACATCTCTAGTCATTAGGGAAATGCAAATCAGAACCACAATGAGGTATCACTTAACTCCCGTTGAGAGTGGCTTTTATCAAAAAGTCCCAAAACAACAAATGTTGGTATGGATGTGGAGAGATAGGAACACTCATACACTGCTGGTGGGACTGCAAACTAGTACAATCTCTATGGAAAATAATATGGAGATCCCTCAAAGCACTAAAAGTAGAACTACCGTTTGATCTAGCAGTCTCACTACTGGGTATCTACCCAAAGGAAAAAAAGTCATCCTAAAATAAAGGTATCTGCACTCAAATGTTTATAGCAGCACAATTCACAATTGCAAAGATGTGGAAACAACCCAAGTGCCCATCAGTACATGAGTGGATTAATAAAATGTGGTATATGTATACCATGGAGTACTACTCAGCCACAAAAAACAATGATGAACTAACATCTCTTGTATTAACATCTTGGGTGGTGCTGGAGCCCATTCTTCTAAGTGAAGTATCACAAGAATTGAAAAACAAGTACCACATGTACTGACCATCAAATTGGTACTAATTGATCAACACTTATGTACACATATGAAAGTAACATTCATTGGGTGTTGGGGGGGAGGGAGGATGGTAAATTCACCCCTAATGGATACAATGCTCACTGTCAGGGGATGGGCACTCTTGTAGCTCTGACTCAGGCATTGCGAAGGCAGTATATGTAACCTCAAAGTTTGTACCCCCATAATATTTTGAAATTAAAAAAAAAAGATGTTTGGAAACACTCATAGACAATATTTAATAAAATGACATTATACTCCAAGTGTATTATTGGGAAGTAATTAAATGATGGAAATTACTTTTAAAATCCAAATATCTTTTCTTTACAGTCACTGAAGACCCTCCGGAATTCAGATTTGAAACCATATATTATCTTCATTGCACCTCCATCACAAGAAAGACTTCGGGCATTATTAGCAAAAGAAGGAAAGAATCCAAAGGTAAAGTCGTTATACTATTGTACTATTCCATTGAAAGTAAACATGAAACACTCCTGGTCTAGTTTGTCTCAGTGCTTAAAAACTACATCAGCTTGAGCTTTCAAATTGATTATTCTTTCTGCAGTGTCACTTGTCCAGAAATTGCCATGGTTGCCACTGGTTGGACTATGGCAGCTTTCCAAAGCAGGGGACCTCTCTTGTTCCCCACACATTTTCTATTGTTACCCCAAAGGTATGGTAAACTTTGGGGTTCCTTAAAACTTATTAAGCTTCTTCATATGGATCTGTAACATTTCCAGGGGAATTATGTGACCCCCACCAAAGTTATCAGCAAACTGTTAGGGATTACCCACTTACCTCTTTAGATATTCCACATTCACAGAATTTAGATATTGAGTGCTGTAGCTTTTCTCTTCTTTTTTTCTCACTGAAATTTTATGTGCTGTTTTTCTTCTCCCTTTGGTCTTCTCACATGATTTGGAATAGAAAGAAATTTTTTAATTATTTTAGATCTATGCTGGATATAGTTGAGGTAGTCCATGTCATATTAAACATTATTAATAATTGACCGATATATACTGGCATATTATTAAAAAGACATTGACTTTTTATTTAAATGTGTAAAATGAAAACTCTGTCAAATGGCTTATATCAAGGTAACAAATACTCTTCCTTGTTTTTTGCTACTTATTTCTTAAATATATCTGTTTAAGGAGGGCTCACTCATATTGCCTCATTTCATTTGTTATTTCTTTAAATTTCCTTAAAGGTAGTCATGAAAAGAATACTACACTCCTGTGATTTGATTCTTGAATCTACCACAACCATCACAACCCTCCCCCTGCCCCTTCTGCCTCATTGCCCCCAGGATATCTTTTTCCACTCTACATCGATTTAACATTTCTTATTCAGTCTATATGTGGGTAATAATTGTTATTGTCTTAGCCCATCCTACTTGTTGAGCATAATTCTGATTGCTTTGTCTTGGCTAAGTAGACCAGCGAGCTGGTTAAAGTAGTGCTTCACCCCTTTTTCATTTCTGCAGCATACTTGTAAATTCATAAATAACTGAAGTCAGAGTATCAGTTGTCCATAGCACTTGGGTGATAACAAAAGAAATACAAGATATAGTCACTGGCTGTTCTTGAGGAAGAGCACAATATAATAAGGGAAACAAGGTTAATACTGTATAAGCTTTGTGTCTAGTAACTACTTTGGTAGACCAGAAACATCATCGTTGCTCAAGGAAAAGGTTGTAAACTAAGGACCAAAGTGCACTCCATTCTATTGTTCAGCCTAATTTTCTATTTTCTAACATGCCCACTTGTTTCTTGTTACGCTATTCTTTTCCAACAAGGATTCAGTATCGTACAAAAGGCCATAGACTATTTCAAACTGTGTTAAGCAACTTGCTTTTGGTTGGTCTCTGGTAAGGTTTTCCTGGAATTTTTATCTACTTTATTTTGAATTGGCCATCCTAAATTTTCAACTTAGGTTAGAAAGATGCTGATTATACGTGGTTTTTTTTTGTTTGTTTTTTTTTTTTGAGACAGAGTCTCACTCTGTTGCCTGGGCTAGAGTGCCGTGGCGTAAGCCTAGCTCACAGCAACCTCAAACTCCTGGCTCAAGCAATCCTCCTGCCTCAGCCTCCCGAGTAGCTGGGACTGGGACTACAGGCATGCGCCACCATGCCTGGCTAATTTTTTCTGTATATTTTTAGTTGTGCAGCCAATTTCTATCTATTTTTAGTAGAGACGGGTCTTGCTCTTGCTTAGGCTGGTCTGAAACTCCTGAGCTCAAACGATCCTCCCGCCTTGGCCTCCCAGAGTGCTAGGATTATAGGCGTGAGCCAGTGGGCCCAGCCCATCCCACAAGTTTTGACATTATATTTTTAATTATTTTGTTAGAAATACATTCTGATTTCCCTTGTCATTTTCTTTTTTAACCCCTGGGTTATTAATGTTATTTAATTTCCGTCCATTTGGAAATTTTAAAAAATGTTTTATTGATTTGTAATTCCATGTGGTCAGAGAATAAACCCTGAAAGATGGCAGTCTTTTGAAATTTGTTGATCATTATTTTTATGGCCCAAAAACTATCTTGGTGCATGTTCCATGCACCCCTGTAACAATGTATGTTCTACAGTTGTTGGGTAGAAGGTGGTGTATCTCATTGTCTTTTTATTCCACTTGTATTTTTATATCCTTTGGTATTTCTAATAGTGCTTTATTACTCATATAATAGAAATACTGAGTGAAAACAAATCTTCAATTTTAACTTTGAAACTATGCTAGCTAAGAAAGTGATGGTGTTACTCACTGGATATAAAATATAACTACTCAATCAGTTATCTAATCTGTTCTGCTAGTATGGGGGCTTTGCTTGAGAATGGTTAACTGACAGTCACTTTTGCCTAAAGGGTAATCTTTTCAGGTCAAAAATTTTTGAGGTAAAACATTTTGTTTCATTTTAGGTATGGACTGTAATCTGAAAAAGAAATTTAGACATAAAATCTGAATTTATAAATTATATAAGCCATTTTGGCATAAGGTAAAATAATAATGCCTTAAATTTAATAATAACTAGGTGGATTGGAGCATAGCATTTACATTTCAGCACTAGCACCACAAAGTTTCAATTCTATATGGAGTCCTAGAATATTATTTGAATAATCTTGAGCTTTGAGTAGACATAAGTTTTGGCAAAAATGTCACAGTGTATTCAGCTACAATGGTGAAGTAGATTCCCTGCTAAGGAACAAAGGGTTCTGTGTACCATATTCAGATGCACAGCATTCCAGAATAAAAATTAGAGAGCCATATAAGAAACTGCCTCAGGACAAGCCAGAGCTGTCATATTTTTAATATATTTTTCTATTGTTACAGAAGTTCAAACAGTTGAATGATATAAATTGTTTTGTAGTGTGGGTCCAATATAGTATTGATGTGTAATATTTATATCTGAGACATTCTGTCTTGGGTTTAATTAGTTCTCTTCATTGACAGGAGTGACATTGACAGTTTTCACTTTCTTAAACACATATGCCTGGTAATCAGAAGGTTCCGGATAAGTTTGCATGTAGCCTTGCCACCTGCTTGCCTGTGTGAAAGAGCCTTTTCCTTTATTCAGTATTTTAAAGTAGCCTGCTCTGTGTAGTTTTCCAAACTCTGTTAGGATACCTTTTTGCATCTTAAAGACCTCCTTTGTGTATGGAAAACAGAGCAGCAATATAAAGTATTAGCCTGAGTTTTTCCCCCAAAAAATATATTAATAGATAAGGTTATTAAATCTTGGACTGAACAGCAATGTTTTCATAGAAAACATTGATCCTTCTCTTTTCCCATAATGTTTACTCTACCTAACTCTGCAATAGATATAAAGGGCAAGGGCTCTTTACAGGACCCAAGAGTAGATGGCACTTTAGGTCCTTGCCCCAACCAGAAAGGTTTCACTCCGTGTTATAGAACATGTTACTACTAGGAAGAGGTTATGACGTCCTTAAATGTTTGTAGGGAATTCAAATAACAGCCTGCACTCTTGAAGCCTATAGTCTTATTGGTGAGGTAAGACAGAAATACATGAAAACCTAAATAGTAGTATAAAACAGGATATCTTGAGTCCCAAATGATTCATAATGTGAGTCCTGAAGATGCCAGAGCAAAGGAAGCCACTGGCCATGGCAGGGTTGGAAAGGAGCGCCTGGAGTTGAGTATGTAAGGTCACTCCCTGTAGTTTGACCATTTCTGACTCATCCTGTATTTTGGTAAGGATAGGAATTACCTCACAGTTTTCATCTTCTCTTTGCAGCCTGAAGAGTTGAGAGAGATCATTGAGAAGACTAGAGAGATGGAGCAGAACAATGGCCACTACTTTGACACTGCGATTGTGAATTCAGATCTTGATAAAGCCTATCAGGAATTGCTTAGGTTAATTAACAAACTTGATACTGAACCTCAGTGGGTGCCGTCCACTTGGCTGAGGTGAAGGAAACATCCATTTTGTAACATGTTGGACTTGGTCTGGCAAACTGCCAATGGGAAAATAGCCCCAACACTTCAGCAAGATTGAGGATAAGGTGGAAGGCAGCAGCAGAAGCTGTAGACCTGTTCTTAGCTCTCCTGAACTAGTGAGAAGAAGGTCCCCTCAGGCAATTTGTGCCTAGCATTCTTTATTCTCTATACATGGTTTTAGGGGCTCTTGCCTCATTCGGGGATTCTAAATGGAAGCTTTCAACAGAGTAATTCCATGTTATCCTGTTAAAACCTTTTGTTTTCACTTAACTAAATCTTTTCTGCTTAGTCATAATTTCCATGAAAAACTTGTATGTACACAGAGTCCATGTCCCACATAGTTATAAATATCGATGTTATTTAACACTTAACTTAAATGACTTCATGGCAATATTGGGGGGGGGAGGTGCTGTGCTTCTATGCACTGGGCAAGACAGTATTTGCTTAGGAGACTAGTCATCAGAAATACTTCCTAAAAAAGAAAAAACGGTGCCACTTTGGTTTGGAACCACTCTGTTAGGCTTGAATTCATTTGTATGTCTTTGAATTCTAAAGAAAGAAAAGAAAACGAACATTCCATTAGAGGCACCAATTTTTATGCTCACTTTGTGGATCAGATTGCACACTTGGCTGACTAATCTAGTTAAAGGTATACAAATCTTTTAAAGATAAAGATTTTGAGTTTTTTTTCTTAAATTGTCACAACCAGTTTGCTGGCCTTGCTTCCTTTCTCTGATCTGCATAGTACAATAGAATGTATAAGTTACATTTTTATGAACGGTAGATGTTCATATAAACTGTATTGACTGTTAAGTTTCTTCCTCATGATGCAAATAGTTTTTTATGTACATGGGAGGACATCAGCACATTTGACAGTTTTTATATTGTTATATATGAGCACAATATAATTCTATGACTGTGCTATATATGTAGGTATTAAACTGGAATTCTGTTGATGAATATAGCTGCTGTACTGTATACTAATGTTTAATTGACAGACGGTCATTGATAACACTTGTTCAGCATTGGAATAAAAGTACGTATATCCTAGGGAAATAGGACAATTGACTTTGAGATCAGAAGGAAAGGAAGGACCTGAAAGTCATTTGAACATTTTAGGAAAAGAACATTGCAGAGGGGTGGTTATCAAGCCTATAGAAATAGGTTTTGTCTATGGCCATACCACCCTGAAGGCACCCAATCTCATCTGATGTCAGAAGCTAAGCAGGGTCGGGCCTGGTTAATACTTGGATGGGAGAAATAGGTTTTTATCCTAACAAGGTCTTATGACCAAAATGCAACAGCTTGCTAAATCATAAAAGAAATGTTTAAGCTAATGGGATTTTTGTACTGTCTCTATAGCTGTAGCTTTAAAATTCAGTGTCCATAATTGGCGTGGAAAATTATTTTGTAGTCTTTTCAAGCCTTTAAAGATAGTGTGATGTGTGACAAGAAGCCTCAAATGTGAATGCCTTGATTTTATTTTTATGGTGACTTTAGCTACAGCATTTCCTATTCCCAAAGCTAAACACTGGAATAGTAATACTGACTTGTCATTTAATTTAACATAAGCAACTGTTTTTAATGAGTAGTTTGTCTCAGTGTCATGTATATATTTGATATTTTTTCTCTTCTACATAATTTTATTTGAACAAATGTAGACAGTTTCTATGTTGCCTTTCTCTGTTCAAATTTGCGTGGCCTATTAAAAGTTGGCCAGGGAGTGTCTTATTTGGAAATATTTTCAAGATAATGTTCCTTAGGAGGAAAGTAACATTCCTGGGTTGAGGGCAGAAATGCCATACATGCTGTCTCTTCAGGTCTGAAACACTCCAGCTTATAGCAGGAAAATGCAAAAAGGTCACACCGATTTTCAGCATTGAAAACTAGGAATATCCTTAGCACTTAATCTTTTCAGTTTTCCACAGTTTACTTTCTCCTCAGGAATGAAAGGTAGAGTCAGTGGTTGACAGTGGAGTTTTGTGATCTCCTTATTGTGACTCACAACTGTTTTCAACCCTAAGATCTAAAATATTGACAGTTCATGTTAAGTTAGAGTGAGCTTTTAGGTAGGCAGTGAGTGGTTGTTGTGCCACTGCAGACAGCAGGCCTATACTAGGGACATGTGTTGTCAATACTCAGACACATGGCTTTAACAAGCAGATCCTGTACCAAGGCACATACCATGCCATACTTTTAGGAAGTTGAAGGTGACAGGTATTTTCAGGATCACTGAATATAATTCTCTGGATATTTTCAGGATCAGTGAGTATAATTCTTAACTCCATCAGCAATGTTGGAGAGAGAGAAATGTTTATGTCCCAAACTTTTCTAAATTCTAGTGATGAAGACGTGCTGATATTCAACTCAGTCCCTAAACAAAGTAAAAACTGAGTTGTTAATGACTTCCTCAATAAAATATGGAAAAAAGCCTTGCTATACGTTCTACAGCCACTCTGGCCAGTTCCATTCCCTGTCCTCTGTGGTTCTGATTGGAGACCTCAGTGTGGAGGAGGTCTTAACCACTTTTTATAGAAATGATACCAATAGCTAATGAAATGTACTTGGAAAATCCAAATAAAGAAATATCTTTATTTCCTGCATTTTTACATCAGAACAAATGGAGAGAGAATAGTATTTAGACTAATCCAGATTTGCTTTCTATGAAAATCTAATGTCTGGATTATTTTCCTTTTATCATGCCTAAGGAATGACTATTGATAAGGAATAATTTGAATGTAATCTTGTGAATGTGTGTGGAAAATATAAACCAGGGATTTAGCCTTAATAAAGGTAATCTTCTGACATCTATTGTTAATAATCCCCCTTTGTTACTCATATCCTGTATCTGCACTCTGTTATTTTGAGATGTCATACTGCACACTGTATTGTAAAAATAAAAAGTAGAATTATATTTCAAATAAAGCCACTGAGTACTTTCTCTTGCTGTGTTATATCCTGTACCATTAAAGTTTTCCACACGTGAAAAGACCACCCTCCTCTTCAAGTTTTTGCCAGAAGCAAGACCGTTGGAACCTCTGGGTGAAACACAAAATACCTTTTAATTTGTTCTTTGTGGTAGAGGAGTGCCCCTGTTGACACAGATGTAGGTAGGTCCTGATTCCTTAATTAAACAAGCAACTAACTGTTTTAAAGATGAACAACTTAAGGCTGTGAACTTGGAAGTTTTCTGGGCAAGGAGGTATGTAATACTCAGGCAAATTTACATTGTATACAGCCAGGGATTTGAGGACACTGAGGATAGCATGTGAGTTCTTGGCAAATATGCAACATATAACATATTTCATTTGAAATGAAATGAATGGAATTCTTCATTTCTCCCTTTTTCTAAGATACTCTATCTGCCAACGGACACAAATCATATAACAAGAAGTTTAATGCATTTACACACCCGTTACCTGTTACAGTCCAGTTTCTGTTCCTATTCATTAACCTATTCCCTTTCCCTATGGATCAGATCACTACTCCACACAGCAAATTATCTGTCCACTGTTTTCTCTTGATTTTTTAACAAATGCTAAACTTTAAAATCATCTGTACTTTTGTAGGTAATTTAACCAAGGCCAATAAATTCCAGAGCTTTAAGATAATTTTTGCCTCCTCCAGAGGCAATGCATAGTGCTTAAAACCAAGGGTCTGAAATCAAGATACACTTGACTTGCACTCCTACTATACTGTTTGACCTATCAAAGCCTCAATTTCCTCATCTGCAAAATAAAGATGGTAGAATTTACACTTCACCAGGCGGGAAAATTAGATGTAAAACAGTTCAGTATTAACTATTTTTAAAAGACTTGTGAACTTAGTTGTTGGTTTTCCAATCATTACTGAATTTACATGGAAACAGATTTTATTTTATGAGCAGCAACAGGATTTCCTAAAAACCAGCTCCTCCAGGGCAGGCAGGCCCTATGTCTTACCTTTAAATGCCCAACATTTTAAATATAGGGCATGCAGAAAGGATAAAATTAAGGGTATAAAAACTGTGAAGGTAGAATGAATGCTTGGATTTAAATCCTGGATTACCACTTTCTAGCTTTCTAAGCTCAGACCAATTACTCAAGCACTCTGTGCCTCAAATTTTTCCTCTGAAATGAGGGGGTTAAAATTTTATGTACTTCTTATTGTGGTAAGGTAATATAAATAGAATACTTAAAACAGTGCCTGGTATACAATAACTAAGATCTATTGTTTTATAGCAGGTACTAAATGTTTACAAAATCATTTAGTACTTTAAAAAGCCTAGACTGTGCTATCATTTGATTAAAATACAGTACTAATAAGGCTAGTGTCACAATTTCATAACAAAAAACTTCATGGCCAGTCATGTAAAAGAATGCCTGGAACTGGTTGCAAGAAAGACTGAATAACCAAGGACAGCTCATGTCAAATTAAACAGTACTAAAAATACTAAAAACCTGCTGTGGCCCCTCAAATGCCTCATCTAAATGCAAGTTATTATTGATTATAACATAACAAAATAAAAAGTTACCTTACTCTAAAATGGGAATGAGTATTTTTCTTAGATTAGGAAAAAAGGAAGTATTATGAAGTCCTCTTAATTCATTGGCATTTATAGTACCCCAAAAATGCAACAATTGTATCAAAGCAAGCCTTTTAGTAAAACACTGATATATGGAAGGGGGAAAAAAGGCTACTCACTTTCTACATGTCTGCAGAGAAAGCTCTGTGAATGAAATACTGTGTGCTGATATGAGCATAAGAACATGACTGTTACTCTTAGCAGTAAATTAATAATAAAAAAGGAATGACTTATTTTTCAATCATTTTACTGTTTATACCATAGTCACATTTCAATTGGCAGAACTGCTCTCATGACAAGACAGACCTGTCATGCAAGGAAAAATAAGTGCAGGTTTTCACAAAGCTTGAGAAAATAAGTACCACGATAACACAGGGATGGCTGCAGCAATCTCAGACAACAGTGCCAAGGTTTGCAAGTTGGTAGGAAGGAAGGCTGGTCCACAGTAGTTGGCCTAAGACCAGTAGTGTTTCCTAAGGGGTATTTCCTATTATGCTTGGTTAGCAGATCACATGTAACACAGATGTAAATGGAGTAGGGTAACACTTCTGCAGAGTAAATTCCTGAGCAGGTTTTACAAAGCTCTTTCATCTGTGATAAATGGTTGCTGCAAAAGTAATCCCATAAATAGACATTCAGGTAAATTTTACAATCAGTGAAAGAAATTCTTAGGCCAAAAAATAAATAGCCACACAAATCAAACCTACACAGCGTGAATTAAAATGGAGCCAGTGTTAGGGTTTCCAAAAGAACCAGAGAAGGAAAAATTATTCAAACAGGAGATCCTCGTCCTTCTCTTCAGCCAGAAGATTAGCAGGCTCCATCACCTCTCCAGCTGCTCTCCGTTGTTCCAAGTCCTTCTCAGATTTTTCCTTGAGAATCTTTTTCTTCTCCTGTATTTTCTTTAACCTGTAAAATAAAGGGGGAAATTTTCTGAACACTGTTTCAGTATTAAGTAGGTTTGATTTCTCCTAGTTTTGCAACAAGGATAATGAACACCTAGAACAAAATTTGATACTTCCATCAAGTTAAATAAATTTTGAAATCCATTCCCTAATGGAACAGATTTTGAGCATTCAGGCACATTCAGGCATTTATTAAAGTTTTGGATCACCACAACCCTGAACATCACTGAAGGATAAAAACTAACCTCTGATAATTAAGATTATAAATCATAATCAGATGCCAACTCAAGGCCTAAGACTGGCATGGCTTCCCTAAATGCTCCTGCTTTCACCTACCTCCCACTTCTCTGAATCAGGTATACAGACCCCTGTACACCACCAATTTAGTACTTATTTATCCCAACTGGTTCTAAATGTTCATAACCAATTATGGATGCACATCATTTCTCTCTCAAGTACTGTGCTGATTTCTCTAATGTTATGATTTACACTACTTGGTAATGTCCCTAAATACTTTATATCCTAACACATTCAACATGCAATACATTATTTGTTGATTAACAGTTTAATTCCAGTTTCTCCCCTCAGTTTTTATGTAGGAGACACCCAATCCAAATCATTGTTTTGTTTTAAAGAATAATGTAGTCTAACAGTTTCTTTGAAAGGCCTAAGTTTTTGGAAATGCCATGTCTTAGGTACATGCAAAACTTGACACAGATTTGTCACTATAGCTTTTGGCAATATTACTACTTATGAGAATAAAATACAAGCTATGCTAATTCTAAAGAACATAACTAGTAACTCAGCAAATCAAGCCTTTGGAATATGGAAAACAAAAAAAATGATCAGTAACTGTCAAATTCAACAAACCTATAGAACTCTTCTCGCTCTCTCTCATCCAGCTCTGTGATGATATAAGCAAGGGTACGTTCAATCCGGGGAATGATGACTAGAGTTTAAAAAATATATATATATGAGAACTTCAAATCCCCTTTTTGCAAATTACCAGTGCTCATTTGTATAATAGTTACTTATTTTCTAATTATAAAATTAGTATACATTTAATGTAGAGAACTTGGAAAATAAAACACAAAGAAAAAATTTAAGTGGAGTATAATCCAACCACACAAAAGTAACTATCGTAAATATGTTGGTGTGTGCCCTTCTAGTGTTTTTTTCTATGTACAGATAACATTAGACCACAACAAATACAATGCTGAATACGCTGAATATATGAATATACATAACACTGACCCACAGATACTATTTTAAATATAACAATAATCAACTTAAAAAATCAAGCAGAGGCCGGGCGCAGTGGCTCACGCCTGTAATCCTAGCACTCTGGGAGGCCGAGGTGGGAGGATTGCTCGAGGTCAGGAGTTCGAGACCAGCCTGAGCAAGAGCGAGACCCCGTCTCTACTAAAAAAATAGAAAGAAATTATCTGGACAACTAAAAATATATAGAAAAAATTAGCCGGGCATGGTGGTGTATGCCTGTAGTCCCAGCTACTCGGGAGGCTTAGGCAGAAGGATCGCTTGAGCCCAGGAGTTTTGAGGTTGCTCTGAGCTAGGCTGATGCCGCGGCACTAGCCAGGGCAACAAAGGGAGACTCTGTCTCAAAAAATAAATAAAAATTTTTAAAAAATGAGATAACTTCCTCGTTAACACTAATATAGCCCCAAGCAAAGGAATTTATTTGCTTCAAATTTTGCTCCTTTCTTACCTAAAAATTGAATTAATGTTTCTTTAATGAAAACAGTTTGAGCAAAAAGCATTGTCAACACCAAGCAGTCATACTGTTTAAATGAGACAAAAGAGATGGAAAATAAATGCATCTAATGGGAAAACTCCTTTTTTTAGAAATCAAGGAGAATGGCCTAAAGGAGAGAGATTTAAAGCTGAATATTTAATGTATTCAAAAAGATACATATAGCTCAACCATTAAAAGAACTAAAGAAAACACTAAGACTCTTGAGAAATATTGTTTCTACCCTTTATTAACTGCATGAATAACCAGAAATGAATAAAACATTCCATTATGTTAACTCACCTCTTTCCTCTGTAACTCCCCCAAATCATACACATACTTCTATCAAAGCCCTTCACAACACCTTTTGTACCACGGACACACTTCTCTCTGCATTGTGGGCAGGAGCAATATCTTATTCACCTTTCAACCTTCTGTACAGTGCTTGAGTCCCAGCAGCTGCATGACAAGCGAGGAGGTATGGACAAGTGAATGAACAAAGCGCCTCACGGCAGCTTGCACTCACCGTGTTCAATGGCATTTACACGCCTGTTGGTTATCTTAATAGCTTCATCCAAAGTAACAAAGGAAGTCTACAAGAAGAGGACAAATAAACAATGTAATCACAAAGTCTTCCTAATCATGCCCTGATCACTTGGCTCTACTCAGTCTGTCCTTGTAGAAAACATTTGGGAACCAAGACGACTTTTCAGCATGCTTAAAAAACAGAAAATTCTTATGAGACTGCCATAGAGCTAATGCTTTTTGCATGCTATTATAATTTATTTACTTCCAACTCAAATAAAGACATAAAAATGACAAGAGGAAAGAATCATGCACTAATAGCCTAGAAATATATTACCTGGCCACAAAGGGAAAAAAATGGCCTTCATGCACAAACTGTTATGCTTGCATTTAAATCTAGTATTGACTGTTGCTGTTCCCACCTAGCAAATAATGAAACCGTACCATTGCACATACATTTTTTTAGTAATAAAAAGTAGGGACAATGGTGCAAAAGTAACCATTTCAGAAATCAAAACATTAGGCTTGTCACATATAGGACCATGGAAAGAGTGGAAAGTACAAAGTATAGCACGCTCTGACTCAAAACCTCTGACTCAAGACCTGAATCTCCTCCACTCGACCATTCAAAGTAAAACCGTAGAAGTTCTCTAGCTCTTCTGCGACTTACCTGCAGTGAAGCCAGTTCCACCAGTAGTTCCACTGCTTTGGCATAATTCCTCTTTAATTTAGCCAATTGTTCCCCACCTCTGGCTAAACCAGTCAGTTCATAACCTGAAAGAACCAGTCAGACAACATTTGTAATTATAGTGTAAACAATCTTCCCCATTAAATTCCCACAAAGAAGATAATTCAGAATAATACCTAACTTGGAAAGACAAACTCTCTAACCCCTGTTAAATGCATACATGAAGCACCCATCTCACTCCCAAAATACTGTACAAGTTGGCTGCTAAATGAAGTTTTCCACAAGGATACTATTCTAAATATTGCTAGAGGAGAAGCCACCAACCTTTACTACACCAGCTTGCTGGATTAGCCAATGCCCCCCTATTTCCCTTTGGAAATCTCACTGCCTGATGCCCACAGTACAGTGACACTCTCTGTCAACAGGTGACTTTATAAAATGTTCTACTTCTTCATATGAGCTGTACCTAATATTCCATATGATTTATTTAAATATTACATGAACCAATGAAATATGAGTACCAAAAGAAAAAATACTGTTTCTATAAAAAAAAGTTAATTACTTTGCTTTAGAAAGAATAAATGTGTGTTACTACCCAAAAAATGCCCTCAAATTAGGAATGGAATGGGTGAGACAATTACAAAAAACTGGGAGTGGGCTATAAAAATCTAGAAAGATTCAGCATTCAAACAGCATCATAGGGGGCTTCCACCACCACTTCAGTCAGCGCTGCAGGGACATGGACTCATCCTGTGGCTGCAGGTACAACGTCCCTGACCACCCTCCTCCGCCACAATCGCATTTCTCTCAGGCAGTGGATCAGGGAAGCACCCGAAGCTGCAGACCGTGCAGAGAACCACTCCTGGCCAAGCATGCCCTACCTGACCAGGGGACAGGAGCACAGCAGTGCTACTGAGGTACAGCTGGCAGAGGCTTGAAGGCAGCCAACACTTTCAAGTGCCCCCCACATAGATTTGTTGTAGACCAGGTCAAGCATCGCAATGTCAACAAGAAATAGTCCTAACCGTGAGCCATCACCCTTTATAGATCACAGGGCTGCCCTGTCTACCTGGTCTGGTACTGAAAAACTGTAGCTTCTACAAAAATGTGAGGCTTTGGACCAGAGTCTTATTAAAACAAACATAAACATAGTGGTCAGTATACAGAATATCTGGGGCTCTAAATAAACTAGTACTTAAAGAGATAATCACTGTCCTATTGTTTCTTGTTTCTTTAGCCTGGTAAGAAGATATAAAATGTATTTTGAATGAAATAATGAAAGTTACAATAAAGCTACAAACTATGATTTGAGATATATGCTCATGAGATATTTGATGGGGACTTTATCATGCAACATTAGTTTGCTTACCTTCTATCAAGAATAATTGGCTAAACTTAAATGGAAACATGAGCTTTTTCAGTTAAACATACTCCTAAAAATAGCATTTTCTTTTGGGATTTGACTCCTAACAGGAGGTATTTAAATTAAGAAAAAGGTATTTATCAGAATTGTTACATGAAGGTGTATTTTTTTAAGTACCTTTTTTGAAATATAATTTAACATATCATACAATTCACCAGTTGAAGATGTTTGCTTTTTAAAATAACCTTTTTCTGAATAAAAATTGCCAAGCACTTTGTGTTACCAAATACAGCACCCTGCACAGTTGGGACTATTTTATATGTGGGAAAACACTGAAGGAACTTATCCAGAGTCACACTGAGTAATGAGAAAGACTTGGATTTGAATTGCTGTATAAAACAGAAATCTTGTGAACTGCTATATATGTGTTTAATAGAAAATTTGCAAAATATATAGAAGAAAAAATAACTCAATCCCATTACCCATTAATGAGATAATTTCTCATTAATGACATAATCTTCATTCGTATACATTTTCTCTTTTGATCTCCTTATATACTCTTTGAAAATATATTGTAATTACAGATATATAGAATTTGGAGCCAAAAGCTCTAATATTTAAATATTCTGATGCCAAATGGCTTTTCAGAAAGGTAATACAAACTCCATAACTAATATACAAGAGTGCCAATCTCATTTTCCAGCACTGAATATTCTTTCTCATTAACAAAAATAATATATTTTGTTAATTAGATGATAGACATTTTAATATCTGCAATCAGTATGTATAGGCTGTGGTAGAAACAGACTGATTTTTTTTTTAATTGATTGTATCTAACAAAGTTCCTAACATATAATAGGGATTTCACAGTTGAATAGTTTAACCAAGCTGAACTATCTTACTAATATGTCATATTCTTATTGATGTATAAATACTCACTGAATGTTTTTTCTTGCTCACAGAAATGTCTCTGGGCAATTTAATATCTCTTAATTTTTATTTTTATTCCTGGAAATAGTGACAGCTGATGCTGTTTAGGAGAAAAGTGAAGGAAGAGGGCCTGGAGAACTGCTTAAGACCAGAAGTGCTACTTCTATTGCTCTGATCTATATATAGGCCAGAAACCTTCTTTGACTTTGGAGTTTGAAAAATGAAAATGGTTAACTTGAATCTTAGAAGACAGTTGAAAAGCAAAAGGATACAAAAATAAAACCTTGAGTTTGAAGAAGTGAAGGCAACTCATGAGAAGACAGGTATTTTAATGTATAATTAATCTGATTTAATTTTGAAAACAATTTTGTGAAACAGATATTCCACTACACAGAAGTTAAACTGAAGCTTAGAAATGTTTGCAACATTCCCAAGTTCACAAAGCTAACAAACAGTAAAGGCAGAATTCAGGAATAGGCTTATCTAAAGACCACATTCATTTTAATATAGCATACTAGGTGCTTTAAATAATAGTTTTGTTTTAATTATTCTTGGACAAGACACAATGCTGTTTAAGAATTTGAATTTTCTCCTTGAAACACAACCGTTATTACCATAATCAACATAGAGTTATCAATCTTTCTTATCAGCAAAGGCTCACTGCCACTTGGAAATGTTTATAATCACAAAAGTAGTAAAATCTATCTGTGTCAAAAAAACACAAATTGCTTCATAGTGTCTAAAACCTTATTCTACTTTAAAGAGACCCAAATTAAAATTGTAAGCCATGCATTATGGTTGTAGTTTATGCAGAAAGATAACACAGAAGTCTAATCAGAGGATTAATACTCAAAGGCCTTATATTTCTAAAATGCCAAATAACTGTACATTAATATATTTGTAGGTTGAAATAAAAATATTTTAAGATACGTACAATGTTTTATCATTTCCTGCTATAAGACTTCTTTGATGATCAACTATTGTCCTGACTGTATCAGATGAGAGAGCTTCTAATACCAGAACCTCTGAACTTTAAGAAGGTCTACTTAACACCATTTTCCAGAACAAAGTTCATTTAAAGAGGAAACAAGATCCCAGAGACACACACTGATATAAAAACCCTCACACTTACTGTCAGTTCCTTCATGGTAATGTTCAAATACTGGCAAAGTAACACCTGTTAAACACAGAAGCATATATGGATTCACAAATACGGTCTTGAAGTACTCTTTTTTAATTACTGTTTCCTATGTTTCTTTTTCAACAAATATTCAAAAACCAAGAGGTTAAGTCTGGAATTGTAACTGGTTTCAATTAATGAATTTAGGAACCTGCCTTAAGTGTTCACTTCTATTCAAAAGCCAAATTATCCTGAGTAATAAGGAACCTGGTTGTTAATGGTTTTAACATGTAAAGCCAATCAACTTGTTGTAAGCAAAAGAGAGACACTGGGACGAGATCTTGCTGTATAAACAGATTAATTTAAAAATATCACCTTTTTTCCCCAAAGGGTTTCAAAGGATTGAAGAGTTACCTGCTACATTATCTTTCTTCGCTCGAATTTTCACTTGGGCTCTATTTACATTTTGGATAACTGTGGTGCTGCAGAAAAAGAAAAAGCCTTTAGTTGTGTTTTTAAAAATAAACCTACAAAGATCCATTGGTTATTTTCATCATTAAATGAGACTATGAGTGAGATGTTACAATTAAGTATGTTTTCATAATCGTCCTTTTTCCAGAAAAGGAAAAAAATTTGCCAAGAAGGGCCTCAGAGAGCAGAGAATGAACAATATCAAAACATCAGTGGTAAGAAAACAGAGAATGATTTTTAAAGTACGTGAATTGCTTGCATTTTCAGTCTGACAGGTAGTGCAGGGATGTGACTTTAGGGATTTATATCCTACTAGTGTAATTTGGAGAAAACTTTCCTTCCTTCTAGGTTTGCTGTTCAAGTGGTTAAGTGGTTAAGTTGGCATTCAATTTCTTTACCTTGGAACCTATTAATATCTAACTTCTATCTGGCTTTGTCTGACTCCCCACATTATTATCATAAAATAAAAGTGTTTTCCCCATAACCACCCTAAAACATTCATATACCACTTATACACTATTGATTTCCTCCCTTTGCTAGAATATTCAATGCAAGCTGTTATCTTACGAGCCTTGGTAAAAATTAAAGTCTACCCCTTGGCAAAAATTAAAGTCTACCACTTCAGGGCTGGGCACAGTGGCTCATGCCTGTAATCCTAGCACTCTGGGAGGCTGAGGCAGGAGGATCGCTTGAGGTCAGGAGTTCGAGACCAGCCTGAGCAAGAGTGAGAACCTGTCTCTACCAAAAATAGAAAAAATTAGCCGGGCATGGTGGCACATGCCTGTGGTCCCAGCTATTCTGGAGGCCAAGGCAGGAGGATCGCTTGGGCCCAGGAGTTTGAGGCTGCAGTGAGCTATGATAACGCCACTGTACTCTACCCAGGGTGACAGAGCGAGACCCTGTCTCAAAAAAAAAAAAAAAAGTGTACCACTTCAAAGGGCCTTATTAAGTAAGGCCTGCCCAGTACTCTGGGAGGCCAAGATTTCCGGACAGAAATCTGTGATAACAGTGGAGGGAAAGCGATGGGGTTAAAAGTGTTCTTCCTTATTATTACTCTATCATTTGTGTTTAATATTTATATATTTCTAAATTAAAAATGGTTTTTAAATTAAATTACGAACCTGAAAGCATTCTGTTTTTTCAAAACACCCAATTTAGTCTTCTTACCTGAAGTCCCCTGCTGTGAACTTGGCCTCAGCTAGTGAGAAGGCAGCTTCTCTCATTACTTCACCCATCAACATTTTCGTCTGAAAAACCAATAACCAACTGCAGATTCAACGAAGTTTTTTACAAGGAAAATCATATCAAAATTATGTTCAGTATTTTATGCCAGGTGTGCATGTAAATATTGGTTTGATAATGATAAAACAAAAATTTCCAATTTTGAACCATTTTGGTTATGGTCACTAACAAAACTGCAAAACTATGAGTTTCATAATTAAAACATTAGAATAAATGCATTAAGAAACATAAAACTGAATCTTTACTGAAGGACCTATCTTATTCTTGAATGGGTACATGCTGATTTTCTCAAATTGATCTCTTAAATTCAATGCAGTTGAAGTCAAAATCCTAACGGCATTTTGATTCGAAAGTATATCTGGAATATTTAATACTTGAAAATATTCAATAATCTTTTTGAAAGAGAAGAAAAACTAAGTCAGGTGGGTAAGGAGTTGCCGTACCAGGTATTAAAAATGTACAGCTACAATAAGGAAAAATGTATGGTATGGGACAGATAAGTCACTGAAATAGACTGAAGGGTTCAGAAACAATCCAGATCTATATGGGAATTTAGTACAGTAAAGAGATGTCCATCCACTCACAAAATGACAAAGCTACCTACTTCACATTATTTAAAAAAAAAAATCCAGACATACTAAAGGCAAAGATTTTTTTAAAACAAAACTATAAAGTAACAAAAGAGAATGTAGGAGACTATTTTCCTAATCTTTTTAGGCCTTTTCTAAGTTTTATATGTAACTCAGAAGCTACATAAAGAAAAAGACTAACAGATTTGACCAAATAAAAATTAAGATACCTTTTTTAAAATGTTAAAAGAAAAGCCAAATATGAGAAGAAAATATTTTTAGCATTTACACATTAACCAGAACATATATAGAACTTCTACCAAAAAAGGGACAAATTTACCAAGAAAATCAAATTACGACTATACATATTAATAAAATGAGCTCCTCAACCTCACCAATAATTAAAATTAATGCAAATTAAAATAAGATACCAATTTTATCCTCATAGATTGGCAACAAAAAAAAAAGTAATACCCAGTTAAGAATTTAAGAAAAGAGGCCCTCTCACACATCATTTGGTAGAAATAGAAATTAACAAAACAATCTGGAGGGCAATTTGGCATTTATCTACCAAAAATTTAAATGAATATATCATTGGATCAATATTTTAAGATTCTTTCTAGAGAAATGCTAGCATATATACACATAAGGATTTAATTGTCCCCTCCCCCAAATGGTAAAACTAAACATTCATCAATAAAGAAATAGTTAAATTCCATTATCCATGCAATGGAGTACCATGCAGCTATTATAAAGAATGAGGCAGATTTTTACATATAGACGGTCCCCAACTTAAAATGACTCAACAATTTTTTGACTTTATAGTGGTGAGAAAACGTACTTTGACTTACAATATTTTCATTTTATGATGGGTTTATGAGGATATAACCTCATCGTAAGTCAAGGAGCACCTGTATTACAGTAGAAAGCTGTGCACATTCTAACATAGGAGCAAGGGAGAGGGGAAGGGGGAGGGGAGAGGGAAGGAAGTGTTACAGAATTTTATATACGTATATAACAATTGCCTGTTTATTAGTAAAAACATTTATGTGTGTATACATGATACTCTTGGTATGTACTTTACAAAAGCAATAGTTTTTATACATGCTACCAAAAAGAAAAAAAAAAGGACTGAAAGGCCATACACCAAAGTATCAAGAATACCTCTAGGAAATGAGAGAGGGCTCACTTGAGGAGGAGGAGAGGATATGGGAGAACTTTCACTTTTTCATATATTTCTGTATTCATACTTCATTTATCCAAAAAGCAGTGAATTAAATAAAGCCTACTAAGTGCCAGCACTATTCTGGACACTGAAAATGTAGTGCTGAAAAGATAAAGCTCCTGCTCTCATGGAACTTAAATTTTCTATTGGGGGGAAACAAACAAGAAGATATCACGCAGTAGTACATGCTGGGATAAAAATGAAATAAGGAGATGCGACAGAAGTAAATATGGTGCTCACTTCAGATTGGGTGATCAGGAATGGCCTGAGACTAGAATGGCCAAAGGAGCCAGTCATAAGTTCTGAGGAAAAAGCATTTCGGGCCTAAGAAAGAGATAATAAAAAGGCCCTGGAGGAGGACATCAGCAAGAATGCTCCAAATAAGGTCAGAGAGGCAGGCAGGGGCCAGATCAGATCAAGTGGGGCTTTGCAGGTAACATTAAGGAGTTTAGATTTTATTAAATGAACTATCTGAAACTTGTTACACTTCTAATGGTATTTTTACTTTTGAAAGAAAAAAAATAACTTGAAAATTACAATGCCAAGGGCCATGCTAGATTTTCCATAGATATTTCCCAAATAAACATTCTTTTAAGCAAAGTTCATTCTACCTCTATTATCTTCTTTAGGATCTGTCGAAATCGAAGAGTTAAGGCATCAGATTTTTTCTTCAGGAGGTTTCGACCTGTCTGTGCTCCTTTTAAACGAGCCTTCATGATGGTCTGTGCCCTATGTAGATGTATAAATAGAGTTAAGACATTTATTCTCACTCTTTAAAAGACACAAAAATACCTCCCCAACAGTGTTAAAATTATCCTTTATTTTTTGATGTAATGAGAGTGAAAACATATAGCATTTGTACCTGATAGGTTTTACTGGAGCTACGGCTTGAAAGTGTCCCCCAAACTTCATGTATTGGAAACTTAATGCCCAATGCAACAGTGTTGGGAGATGGGGGCCTTTAGAGATGATTAGGTCATGCAGGCTCTGCCCTCATGAATGGATTAATGTAGTTATCGTGGTAGTTATGGTGGTAGTGGGTTCCTTATTGAAGGAGTGGGTTGTTATAAAAGTGAATTTGGCCAAGCACCATGGTGCCCACCTGTAGTCCCAGCTACTCAGGAGGCTGAGGTAGGGAGGATCCCTTGAGCCCAGGAGTTTGAGTCCAGGCTGGGCAACATAGCAAGACCCTGTCTCTTTGGCAGGGGGGAAACAAGTTCAGCACAAAGCAACATTGGCCCTCTCTTGCTCCCTCTCACCATCTTGTCTTCTACCATGGGATGTCACGGCAAGAAAGGCTTTACCAAATGGGGCCCCTCAATCTTTGACTTCCCAGCCTCCAGAACTATGAACCAAATACATTCTTTCCTTTCCCTCTTTTCCTTCCTTCCGTTTTTTCTTTTTTTTCTTTTTTTTTTGTGAAACAGGGTTTTGCTCTGTCACCCAGACTGGAGTGTAGTGGTGTGAGCACAGCTCACTGCAACCTCCAACTCCCAGGCTCAAGCAATCCTCCTGGCTTAGCTTCCCAAGTACCTAGGACTACAGGTGCATACCACCATGCTAGGCTAATTTTTAAATTTTTTGTTGAGACAGGGTCTTGCTGTGTTGCTCAGGCTGGTCTCCAACTCCTGGCCTCAAGTGATCCTCCTGTCTTGGCCTCCCAGAGTGCTGGGATTACAGGCTCAAATACTTATTTGATTTATAAGTTAAAATATCTATGCTTCAGTTTCCATTAGAGGTATATTAAGGCTTTTTAAAAATCCGTACACTAATAAATATCTAAATTTCACATACAATTACCTTCAGGACCAATAATTCCACTTTTAGGAATTTATCTCACAGATTTAGTCCCACATGTGCACAAAAACATGTACAAGGTTGAGTACTGCAGCCTTATTTGTAATAATAAAAGGGTGGAAACAAGCTAAACGCTAAATAAATCATGGTTTGCCATACAATGGAATGATATGCAGCCATAAAAAAGGAGGAAGGTAGATTTATATGTGCTGCCCATATTTTATTGTCTTACTTATATGAAGTAAGGGAAGCATGTGCTTATACAGATGCTGAGAATAGTTCTAAAGAGGATTCACATAAACTGGTAACAGTTTCTTTTGGGAAATAGAGCTGAGTGAGAAATATGGATTTATTTTTTTACTACTATATTCTTTCGTTCCTTTTGCATTTTTTACCACAACCATTTATTACATCTTCTATTAAAAGCATGGCATTAAGGCCGGGCGCGGTGGCTCATGCCTGTAATCCTAGCTCTCTAGGAGGCCGAGGTGGGCGGATTGAGCTCAGGAGTTCGAAACCAGCCTGAGCAAGAGCGAGACCCCGTCTCTACTAAAATTAGAAAGAAATTAATTGGACAACTAAAATCATATAGAAAAAATTAGCCGGGCATGGTGGCGCATGCCTGTAGTCCCAGCTACTCGGGAGGCTGAGGCAGGAGGATCGGTTGAACCCAGGAGTTTGAGGTTGCTGTGAGCTAGGATGACGCCACCGCACTCTGGCCCGGGCAACACAGTGAGACTCTGTCTCAAAAAAAAAAAAGCATGGCATTAAAGTGTTTTGATATCATCAATCAAGACCCTGATACCATTTTATTAATTTGTAAATGACTCTAGGTAATAAAAGACACATATAAGATTCCTGAAAACTGACAAGCTAAATTTACACTGATGTCTTCTCATCTCCTTATTTTAATTTTTTCCTATTAGAAGCCCCAATACCAAAGTCAAGCAAGCAATGGCAGAAATTGGCACTTCTGTTCTTGTTGCCATATGCCAGATAAAATTTAATAATGGAAAAAAAGTGTTTGGGTAATAAAACAATGGATTGTACAACCTAGGCACTTACAATGATTTCTTTAAGGGGACCTAATTTCACACGACTAGTGTTGTAACCAACTGCAAAATAGCATGTATTTTTTTAAATTTTTTTTTATTTCAGAATATTACAGGGAAAATAGCATGTATTAATGGACCTTTTGGCCAAATTCTTAGATTATACTGAAATCTATTACCATAGGGCTAAAGTCACTGGGACAATTCTATAGCTGGAAGAGACTTTACACATTAATTTAAAAATTAGGAAAATGAGGCTCAGAAAAGTAAAACAACTTCCTTATTCAGTGAAGAAAAGGCAGGGCAGGAACTTGAACCACATTTCTGACTCCAGGACTTGCTCAAATTAAGGCTCAAACCTAGGTCCACTGTACCCCAACAATGTGCCACAATGCCTCCCCTTAAAGATGACAACCAGCAGCAGATGAAAGTTTCTTTGAAAAGTTGGCCATTAGTGGCTGACTTGGCACTCACTGGCCTCACTGGAGGTCTTACCAAGTGAAACTGGTTTAGTTTCCAGTCTAAGCAGGAACGATCCACCCCAATGTGTATATTTAACATACCATATTGTTGACACTAAATACCAGAACTTAGGTTCAAAGAGCTGGATCAAATTTAAGTCAAATTCTAATACTGCAGATTCCAGCAAATTTATAGTAGAAAGGTGAACTGGTTGATAAAATTGAATTTACCATGCTAATTTTAATTTCCTCCTAAGTGATGGCACCTCTGTGAAATGGGCAGATTTTAATTCTTCAGACTCTAAGAATGACCTGCCCAAGCACTTGCAGCTAATATGTGGTAGAACCTGAATTTGACTGACTTCTGTTGACTCCAAATCTTTCATGCCTCTTTTGCTTCCACTCTAAAATTGTTTTGCTTTCACTGGTATATAAGTGGGTGAAAGCAACATTTCACACAATACTGTGAAGTGGAACTGTGAAACAGAAGTTGCTACTGTATTTTCTAGCCTAGGACTTTTAAAACCTGTTCTTTTACATGTTTCAGAGCTGCTCGGCCATACAAAAAAGTTTGACCTTCAGCTAGGACAATGACTTTGCTTCCAGCTGAATCAAAAACATCTGACTATATGACAAAGAACCTGCTGTCTGGTCTTAGGAACAATGTTCAGAGAAGCAATTACTTCCTGCACCTGATTTTCTTCTCAAACAGTAAGCTGAGTGCTCTTAAATAGCAGTTTTCACCTTCACAACCTATCATTTTTCTTGTCTCAGTCCAAAGAAGTCCATTTTTACCTCTTAGTAAAAGTTCCAAAATAAAACAAAACAAAACAAAAAAATGTTAACATTCTGACTGCTGTCAAAGATAAACACAGCCAGACATTAGTTAAAGCGGTGAAAACAGATCTTTATTCAGCAAACCACTGACAGCAGGGGAAAAAGCGAGCTCAATTCTGATTTGTGTAGAGGTGACTGGGCGTTTGTAAGAGAATGAGGGAGGGAGGGGAACGGTAGGCCTCAAGAACTGTTAGAGAAGTGAAAAATGCAAAAGGTTGGTCAGTGTAAATGCCATGCTAGCTGGCAATTATGAAGTTAGGATTCTATCCGTCCAAAAAGTGGGAAGACAAAGGCCCTGTCCATGCTGATGATTACATTTCAAAGGAATGGCCATCAGGTCCTTGAGAGAGGCACTTTTGAGTTGGAAGAGATACATGTTCACAATTGTTAGCCTGTTGAGTAAATGCTCTAAAAAAGGACAGTCAGGCGTCTATTAATCATGTATTAGCTAGAACAAATACTAAATTCTCCTGGAAGCTTTGAGCTTTTTTAGGAAGACATTTTAATGAGGGACTGGGGTCATGCTAGGGACTAGACCTGATGCTGCTAGAAGCCATGATAGAGTCTGGATGTCTCTCAGTGCAGAGGTTTTGACTGAGTCATTATGGGCTGGGAATTCTGCAGTTCTCCCGACCCCCGAGTAGTCCTGACTCTTATTTATTTCACTGTACTACCTTTCTCCACAACTAGCTTGCTTCTTACTTAGTACAAACAGCTATTAGAAAGTTAGTAGGTGAAAGTAAAAAACAAATTTAAAAAACATTTCAGTAAGGACGGTAGTCACCTTGGCAGAGACAGAAATCTAGGTTTCAAGTGTGAATATAACTGTCTTATTTTAAACATCCTCAGACTCTGAGAAAAATGACAGGATGAGGAAAAAATAATAGAACACCCCCACAGAGAGAGGACCACAATGAAAATATCTAAACGTCAGGGTCAAAACTGATTTTCTGCTTCCTCATGGGGGAAAAAAGAAAAGGAGGAGAGCACAAATAAGAATCTTTACTCTCCACAAGTTGGTAGGCACATTTAGGAAAACTTCAAAATTTTCTTTACAAACTTGTCACTTACAGGCATATGCCATTTCTCCTGACAAAGAATTCAGGCCAAAAGAGAAAGGCAGGCCACAACTAAGCAGATTCCAAGGCATAAAATCATTCAAGAAACATTTTTTTTGTGGATGTCCTATGGATTAATAATCAAGACACTCTCTCTCATCCTGGAGAGAGCCTACAGTCCAGTGGGAGAGAAAGATATGTAAACAAATATCCACTTTACAATGTGATGAGTGATATTAACAGAAGTCTGAACAAGGTGCAGTGGTGAGAGAGCAAAAGGAGCGCCTCAGAAACACAGGAGTGTCTTCCCACAGCAAGTGTTATTTGGGGGAATCTTAGAAAATGAGTAAGGGGATACAAGATTAAATCCGACGTTCATGCTAGGGCGATTCGATTCAATCCCTACTTTGGTTTAGGGACCTCTTCTATATGTTTCGCATCACAATAAACTTCTCAGAGCATTTTAAATATCGTTGGCTTTTCTGTCTCCTCCACTTGTGAGCTCTGTGAGGGGCAGCGGTGACGACGGTTCCGTTATATAAATCCAGTGCCAGACTCAATAAGGGTATTGGAATAAATGACTCCATTAATGAATTTAGACAAGAGACCTCCACAAAAGCCAGCAGGCCGGGAGCCCTTTCCTATGGGCTGGGATCGCTCTGTCCAGCCTGATTCACTCAGGAGGAATGCGTGAGGGGGCCATCAGAAAACTTCGCCCCGGACTCACGAAAAGAGCCTGGGGAAAGCTCAAGATTGGCCCAGGAAACAAGGAACCTCGCTGGTGGCCCAGAGTATGGAGAGACCGCGCTCCAGGCAAGCATTCCTAAGCCTATGAGCGCCACTCATCCAGTCTTTTACTTACATTCGCGAGGGGAAGATTTCAATTCGGTCTTTGCCAGACATTCTGACGATCTAAGGTCCCCGTCTGGGCAATCGTGGCTGCCACAACTCCGGTACCAGCCGCCACAGTGACTTTCTCTACGGGAGTCAGCAGGTTGTGTCACCTGACCCCTTAGGTTGCTAAGAGGCACCAGGCATACTCATTTTTCACTTCCGCTTCCTGTTGTCACTGGCGTGGGGAGGCTGAACGGAGGCGATGCCCGGATGTGGAGAAGCGCGCCCCGCGGAACCGCCCCTCACTTCCGGTTCGCCTCCCAACCCCTCCCTCTCCAGCACCTCGGAGGCTGCTCAAGGCGCTGCACACGCCGGGCCAAAGAATAAGAGAGAAGAGTACACGCCTTCTCCTCCACTACTTTTCGTCTTTCGTCATAGCGCCATCGCATGGTTGACTAAAACTTTGGGAGAGGATTCACTCTTCAGGGATAAGGAATCAGAATCCTTTCTCCTCCTGGCGCCTTGAAAGTTACTTAGTGAAAACTAAAGATAGCGAGAAACAGTAGTTTTCGGGTCCTCCTATGATCTACGGTCTTCCTTGTTCTCGGAGGACCCAGACTCTATGATTAGTGATGAAGAGGGGCCTGTATTTTGTTGGCGCTTGCGCGATGTGAGGTGGTTCCGCATGCGCGGTGGGGTTGAGTGAAGCGCACGCTGAAGAGGACGGCGGCTGGTTCGGGTGTATCAAATCTGATCTCAGCGGTTGAAGAGCGCGACGCGGGACTTTAGCGCGTGTTTCGCACACAAACCTCAGGTGACTAATCCCATGGCTCTGTTTCTCCAAGAACTCACTTTGGTTTGTGTCCAGTGACATGGGTGTTCGAGAGAGGGTAGGCCCAGGGCTAACACCTCCTCCCTTTCCCGTTCCTGCGCGGGAAGTGGCTGGACACCACCGCCACCACCCGCTGGCTCTGTCGTGGGCCTCCTCGCCGGCTCGGTGTCGGTCATCCTGTGTTCCAGGGGCATCATTGTTCGAGCAGAGAAATCTTGTGAAGGAAAGTGGGTCAAGTGGATTGTACCAGCCTCTTCAATACGCTTAAAGTGAGGATGCCTTGACGGTGGGGCGGCCTCGAGAGAACGTTGTGACAACCTACCTCTACCTCACACCCCCGGCTCAGGACGCTGAGCACTTTGCTTTTTCCGGGCTTGAGGATTCCATCTTTTCTTTTTATTTCCGCCCCAACAGTACTACCAAAAATTTCCTCTGCCTCTCAGTGGAAACCAGACCGGCTTCTTCTCCAAGGGACCAATAGGATGAGCCACCGTGTTGAAAAGAGCTGGGTCAAAGAATAGTTTATTCATCTGATAATTGATTTTTTTTAAATTGAAGCTCAAGTTATCTTATCGTTTTAGTTGTGCATTTCTGTAGAATGAGTCACCCCTTGAATTGAAACTAAGTCATACTTTCGAAAAGTTTATTAACTGTTAGTGTTGGTTTGTCGTATTTTGGCATCAGTGAGAATAGAACTGTGTGATCTTACAGTTAAAGCATAAATAAAACTTAAGATAAGGGAGTACTTTAGGGTTAAATACATATTCATTCTGAGGTCCCTTTAATTATCCCTAAAACTTAGGCTGTTGGCCGGGCGCGGTGGCTCACGCCTGTAATCCTAGCACTCTGGGAGGCCGAGGCGGACGGATTGTTTGAGCTCAGGAGTTCGAAACCAGCCTGAGCAAGAGCGAGACCCCGTCTCTACTAAAAATAGAAAGAAATTAATCGGACAACTAAATATACATTGAAAAAATTAGCCGGGCATGGTGGTGCATACCTGTAGTCCCAGCTACTCGGGAGACTGAGGCAGAAGGATTGCTCGAGCCCAGGAGTTTGAGGTTGCTGTGAGCTAGGATGACGCCATGGCACTCTAGCCCGGGCAACACAGTGAGACTTTGTCTCAAAAAAAAAAAAAAACTTCGGCTGTTTTAATTTGCGTTGAACAGGAAGCACTTTCTTGGAGAAAAGGTGTAGCAGAGAAGTCTTGATTTTTCTCTCAAATGAATAGTTACTCAAGGAAAAATCTTATAACTCTGTCTTTCAACAGTTTGAAGATTACTTAAGTAGTATTTTACTGCCTATTCTCAGTTCATCTGATGCCAAATGAAAGTTACTGATTCTCAGAAGATGTAGTTGTCTGATGCACAGTATAGTAAGTGTTAGAGCAAAATTAGAATTATTACAAGAGTTGTTCCCATCACATAATACACTTTGGAATGTGAACTTCCTGTATCCGTTATGGTAACTTGACCGACCATGCACTGGTTTAAGATAGAAGTCATTCTTACCATTTGTCCAGGCCAAATTACTGACTATGCAAGGTATTTGAAATTAGCTTGGAGTTTGGTTTATATATTTGGAAACATGGTTATTTTTTTTACATCAGAACGCGTAAGAGTATTGTAGTGCTCTTGACATATTGAGACTCTGTGGGTTAAAGACACTCTGGATTTAATGTCAGAAGACTTGGGTTTAACTCCCGCTCTAGTATTAGACTTAACAAATGAGGGGGTCATTTAATATTTTTTTTCCTTGGTTCCCTGTTAATTGATTGCTTCACTGTAGTCCTTTCATACCACCTTATATTGCAGTTGTTTGCTTACTAGTTTCCCAGTCTACTTAATTCCTTAGGTAAGATTCTTGTTATATTAGTGGTACTCAGCACATAGTAGGTACTGCTAAAAAAATTATTTAACAAATTAAATTACAAAATGAAAATAATACTTACTTTCCCTGTCAATATTTTATGTATGTATAGCACATTATGCTCTTCAAAATGTTTTTATATATATTTTATTTCATTTGATACCCTCAACAAACCTGTGAGGTACATGGCAGGGATGAGAAACTGGAGTTCAAAGGGGATACCTTTCCCAAGCAACCACAGCTAGCAAGTAGGAGAGCAAGGACTAACTACCTAATTCTAGGACTTTTCCCAAAGTTCACTGTGCTACTTGCCTGACTTGACACTTGTTAAGAGCCAAATAAAATAAATCAGAATGCTTTGAAAATGATAGAAAGGGCTGAATAGTGTGGTTTCTGTGTTCCTCAATGATTAAAGAAAAGGTAAAACAAAAAAAGCTTATTTTTAAAACATTATTAGCATTTCATAAGACAAGATATTCAAAATCTACCGACCAATATACGTGTTTTTTTGGTATGGATTCTTTTTGTACTTACTGCTTGCTGTCTTTCCTGTTAATAACATACCATCAACAGCATTCTTTTACTCACCCTTTATGTTGCAAAAAGACTTGTGCCTCCTAAAAGTAGTAGTATTCATTATCTCCCTTCAGTATTCTTTTACACTATTGTGTGTGTGCTTTAACCATCAAATTAAGCCTCGTTTCCCCAAAAGCATCATCTTTGCTGTTTGGAGAAACTTGGCAAGTAAATGTGGCTTGCACCTGTTAAATCTCTTAAAACTTCCACACATTTCCATGGCATTTATTTTGATACCCAGTTTGAAACTTTTTTTAGCACTCAAATTTGAAAACTTTACATGCAGAGAATCAACAGCAGTTCCCTCACCACTCCCTTCAAAGTCCTGTTTAAAAACGAAACAGCCAACTCAGCTGTATCTTGGTGATTCTAGCCATTGAATGTCTACTTCTCTTTATTTGCTAAATCCCTTTTTTGCCAAGCAACTAGGAAATTACACTGTCATTAACATGCTGCTTTTTGTTTTTAAACAGGATGTATTAGTACTAATAGTTTGCACCAATTTGTAGCATATGCTCCAGCACCAAATATGTATATTAATGTTGCTTTTTATTTAAAATATTTCTAATTGTAATATATTAATATTTATCAGTAATATTGGGAGAAAATATACTCTGATCCATAAGAGCACAAACTCTGAATCCAAACTTCATGGTTCAAATCCTGACTCTTATCGTTTGTTAGCATACGAGAGAGAACAAGTAGCTTAACCTGTGCCTCACTTTCTTTATAAAATGGGGAGAACTAGGGAGAAAGTGGTACTGCAGGGAGTTAGGCAGCGTGGCCAGATCATAAAGAATCTTGTAGGTAATGGAAAGATATGTAAGTCAATAGGAAGCCACTGGGAAGATATTTGTGGGTGCCAGTTAGCAGTTCTCAAACTTTATACTACAGCAGAGCTCTGGTGTTCCATGAGCTGGATGGATATAGAGAGTCTACCTCTAATGTCAAGTAATGGGAGCCTTATTTCCAAGTTAATAAGAAAAAAATAAATTATTAAATAAATTTTCACAAATTTTTGTTAGGCCTTTAGGTCCTGTTACTGCCTATCTTTTGAGCTCTGACAATAGTAAATAGGTTAATGTTAAAAACATGAAAATCATAAGCCATAATTAGTTTGAGAGCTTCCTTTTTAAAATGTGCTTCTACCCATAGTATGATTTCAAGGTGTGGGTCATAGAAGGGCTGGTACTGCAAGTAGTTTGGGTGGATCAAAGGGAATAATTTTAAATATCTTTAATGCTTGGAGGTTAAGAGAAACTTGAACTTTACAGTAATGGAGGAGGATATATTAAGCTTTTGTCTCCTTGACATGTGATACTGTAATTTTGGCTATAATAAATGATAGGACATATCATTTGGTATATTGGTTAGGGTGTAGGTAGTTAGAAAATTCTCCTCTTTATATAGTGGATGGGTAGCACAGATAGTCTTAACTGGCTTGGAGAAAGATTAGCTTTAGTTTTGCTGATAGGTTATAATAGCAGTGATGCGTCCCATCATTTCATATTCCTTAAAGTGGTGGTATTAAAATAGTATTTTACTCTTGAGGTATTCCTTTAATCCTTAGGTCTCAGAGTACTTTATAGTCAGTCATTATTTTTTATGATTCTTCTGAAACTGATGGCAGAGAATCACCCAAGCCTTACAAAAATGTGGAGCAAAATAAAAATTCAAGCTTGGTTCCTAAACATCTCTCTGTTTTCTGATATCATTTAAGAAATTTAAAGAGACGAGAAGACTAATGACTATGTTTTTTATCTTTTATTGATGTAGGAGATTAATGTTTCTTTATTTTGACCTTACTGAACACTTATTTCTTTTTTTTTTTTTAATTGCAGAATGCCGGGTTTAAGTTGTAGATTTTATCAACACAGATTTCCTGAGGTGGAAGATGTAGTGATGGTAAATGTAAGATCCATTGCTGAAATGGGGGCTTATGTCAGCTTGTTGGAGTACAATAACATCGAAGGCATGATTCTTCTTAGCGAATTGTCCAGAAGGCGTATCCGTTCTATAAACAAACTCATCCGAATTGGCAGGAATGAATGCGTGGTTGTCATTAGGGTGGACAAAGAAAAAGGTAAGTGAGAAGAATATCTAAAATACAAATTTCAGGTTTAAAATTGTTTATTTAAAAATATGTTTTTTATAAATTGCTGCAGTTTAGAAAAATACCTTTTATACTTAAACACTTTTACATACAAAATTGTTAGAGAAGGATGCCAATTAGCCATCTAAGCAAGGCCTCTTAAGTTAGTAGTATATCCCAAGGTTTTTTTGGTCAAATAACTCAAATTTTATTTCTAGCGTGTATCAGGATCTTCATAATTGACTCACGGTTACCAAACTCAGATGATAAGTAGGCCAGAGTACTAGTTCATTCATCTACATTGGTGGGCCTGAATGTGTTGAATCCCTTTTTCTTGATTTAAAGCTAAATTAGTAATCAAATTGTTGGGTGAGCATGGAAAAACGAAAAGGTAAATGGGTTCCAGAAATATTTAACATAAGCTTTGAAAAAGCAGCATACTGTTACACTGTGTGTGTGTGTGTGTGTGTGTGTGTGTGTGTGTGTGTGTGTGTGTGCGCGCGCGCACATATACCTACATCCAGTACTGTATGTCTCTCTGGTAATTTTTTTTTTTTTTTTTTTGAGACAGAGTCTCGCTTTCTTGCTCAGGCTAGAGTGCCATGGTGTCAGCCTAGCTCACAGCAGCCTCAAACTCCTGGGTTGAAGTGATCCTCATGCCTCAGCCTCCCAAATAGCTGGGACTACAGGCATACACCACCATGCCTGGCTAATTTTTTCCATTTTTTATTTTAGTTGCCTCACTAATTTTTTTCCTATTTTTAGTAGAGACGGTGTCTCACTTGCTCAGGCTGGTCTCAAACTCCTGAGCTCAAGCAATCCTCCTGCCTCGGCCTCCCAGAGTGCTAGTATTACAGGCGTGAGCCGTGGCACCCAGCCTCTCTCTGGTAATTAGAATTTTTGTGTCTCCCAGATCCTGTGTGATCTTGCAGTGCTGGATGAGTAATCATTTTTTACTTACTGGGTACCTTTTTCTGGACCCCATGTAAATCATCTCCTTCGTGAACATTTTGTTTTTTTTAAACACTGTGTATAATACCATTAAGTAGGTTTTGGTTTCAGCTATCTTACTATAATTTATTAGGTAGTTTGAGGTCAGTAGTTTTACCGTCATACTTGAAAGACTGCATCTAAGTCACCTTGATTGCACTTGTCCTTCTGAGTCTTCTCAGCCATCTACTTTTATACTTTGTCACTTCTGCAAGTGATTAACTTTATACATGCTGACATTTTAATTTTTTTCTGAGTATAATCTTAGATGATACACTTCGATGATGTCTTATGTTATCCGTTAGGTAGCAGCTGTTTGATTGTTCTAAATGTTTTTATATAGCTTATTTGTAGCCCCCCTAAAATTATTAAACTACTTTGTGACTGAGACTATTCCTTAAACTTGTGGAAGTCTTTACATTACTGCCCTAGTAATACCTAGAATAGTGACTTGTCTTGTACTTCTTTTTCTGTTATATAAAATATATGCAAAAGGAATCAAGTTTTTAGTTGCATTAAAAAAATGGAAAAGTATACTTACATAAGTATAATAGATACATGTAAAAATATTCCCATAGCAGCATTTGTGCAGTATTAATTAAAACCAGAAAATGATCAAAGCGGGGACTGGTTAAATAGATCATAACAAATCCATGCAGTGCAATTTTATGCAGAATGAGATCTGAATATTCTGATATGGAAAGATGTCCAGATGTCCAGGGTAGGATAAGAAAAAAAGTAAAGTGCAAAAGTGTCTATTAAGGGGATCTTCCCCCACCTCCCCGCCACCCCCCCGAGATTGGCTCTCCCTCTATTGCCTGGGGTAGAGTGCAGTGGTGTCATCCTAGCCTCGTAGCTCACTGCAACCTTGAACTCCTGGGCTTAAATGATCCTTCTGCATCAGCCTCCTCGGTAGCTAGGATTACAGGTACACAGCAACACACCCAGCTAATTTTTGAAATTTTGTAGAAATGGGGTCTTGCTGTTCCCCAGGCTGGGCTTGAACTCTGGGCTCAAGTGATCCTCCCAAAGTGCTAGGATTACAGACATGAGCCACCAACACCTGGCCAGAGGGGATCCATTTTGATACTACAGGATTAGGTCCTATTGGACAAACCTTGGACAAATAGGAAAAATAACTACCTAAAAACAATGAGGATCGATCAAAAGCAGGCCAAAACTGAAGGTGAGTTGACACTTACAAGAAAGGAACTGCACTGGATATGTTTTCTGTTTTAGGGTTTTTTTTGCCTGAGTGCATGCTAAAGACAGCTTCAACAGGGCAGGTGTGGTTCTAGTGGAAAACCTGCAGTCTTGCTGGCTTGAGAACTGGAGACAGGAGTTCTAGACAATCACAGTAGATGGAAAATGATGATAGTTATAGGGATTAGAGAAAGGAGAGAGCCACCAAGGGAGAAGCCCCTGTGTCTGTTTATAAAGTCTGTCTAAATCTCTGGCTGAGCCCTGAACTACTAATACACAGGGTGGACTCCAGGCAGCTCAGACACGGTAAAAATCTGAACAGATACCAGTTGCTTTCCACCTGGGGAGGCAGAGCTCATAGTTTGGAGTTCAAACAATTTAACTGCTTAAAAAAAAAAAAAAAATCCATGTTCTTAAGAGAAACATATAGTAATTCAGAGTCTCTGCTACATATCATTCACCATGTCCAGGTATAATGCAAAATTGCTAAATATACAAAGAAACAGGGAAATATGACCAATACAAAAGAGAAAAGGCAACTAGTGGTGACTGACCCAGAGATGATCCAGATGTTGGAGTTAACAGGCAAGAATTTTAAAGCACATATTTTAACTGCCCAAGCACATTAGGAAAATATGTTTGTAAGGAATAAATGAAATGAAATCTCAGTAGAGAAATTAGCAGCTCTTACAAAGAACTATAGTCAAGTGTCACTTAATGATGGGGATACATTCTGAGACATGCATCATTAGACAATTTTGTCATTGTGCAAACATAGAGTGTACTTACATAGACCTAGAAGGTATATCCTACTACACATCTAGGTATATGGCATATCCTGTTACGCCTAGGCTACAAACTTGCATGGCATGTTACTGTACTGAATTCTGTAGGCAGTTATAACAAAATGGTGTTTGTGTATCTAAACATGGAAAAGGTACAGTAAAAATACACCATAAAAGATAAGAAATGGTACATTTATATAGCATGCTTACCTGAATGGAGCTTGCAGGACTGGAAGTTGCTCTGGATGAGTCAGTGAGTGAATGTGAAGGCCTAGGACATTACTAGACACTCCTGTAGACTTTATAAACACTGTATGCTTAGTCTACACTAAATTTATTTTTTAAAAAAACAAACTAACTGAATTATGATGGCAGTAGGTGATAGGAGTTTTTCAGCTCCATTAAAATCTCAGTGAGAGCATGGTTATATTTGCAATTCATTGTTGACCAGAACATCATGTGGCACATGACTAAATATGAATTCTAGAAATGTAATAACTGAAAAATTCACAGATGGGCTGACAACAAATGGGAGATGACAGAAAAGTCAGTGAAACTTGAAGATAGTTCATTGAAAATTAACCAATCTGAAGAACAGGAAAGAATTTTTTTTTAAATATGAACACAGTCTCAGTAACCTATCCAGTATCAAAAGCTGTATTCAAAAAGAAGAGCTGAGAAAGGGCAGAAAATATACTTGAAGAAATAATGGCTAAAAGTTTCCCATATTTGTTGGAAAAAACCGTAAATTTACAAATTTGAGAAGTTCCACAACCTTAAGCAGGATGTGTACTAATATAATAAGATTGCATCTAGGCACGTCAAACCACTGAAGAAGAAAGATTAAAACATCTTGAAAACATAACATGCTACATACAGGGGAACAGTGGTACAGATTACCATGATGTTCTCATTGGAAGTAATGAAGGCCAAAGCATTGAATGACATCTTTAATGCACTGAAAGAAAAAAACTGTCAAACCAGAATTGTATATCTTAAGGTAAAATTCAATAATGAAGATCAAAATGAAGACATTTTCAGGTAAATAGAAACTAAGAGAATTTATTGCCAAATAGACCTGCATTATAGGAAATGGTAAAGGAAGTTCTTCGGGCTAAAGAAATGTGATACCTGAAGTGGAAAATATGTAGGTAAATGGAAAAGATTATTTTTCCCCTCTTAATTTCTTTGAAATATGTTTTATCTCATTTGTACCCGTGGAATTGTAATCTATGGAGATTGACTGAGTGATGGGACATGGAGAGGCCAATGCCATTGAAAGAAAATTTTTACGACTTAAGATTTCCTGAGAGGAGGAGGCATGACATGCAATACAGGGCCACAAGGGAAAGCACCAGTTTTAGTCAGGAGGCACAGGAACTAGGTGAAAAACTAGGCAAGAACTTTTATTGGGGTTTCTGCAGAAAAGCAAGGCAGAACAGAGCAAACTACTTGGGACTGACTAGTCAGAATGATTTAGTTGGGCCTTGGAGCATAAGAGCTGTCCCTAGTTGTCGGTACCTGGCCCTCGGTTGATTTGTGGCTGGGGGAATATGGGCTCATTGTGTGAGAGTTTGTTGGCTCCAGATTGGCTAGTTTGCATATGAAAGGCATGCTCCTAAGCAGGCCCTTTGCTAACTCCTCCCCTGGGAGAGACAGTCTCTCCCCAGTCAACATAGCCACAAATGTCAGAGCCTCAAGAATACAGAAAATAAAAAAATATAGTTATTATAATACAATTGACTTTGATGAATGAGAAAACACAGAACACAGCTTAAAGGAGATGTAATACATTTGACAACTAAAGCACAAAAGACAAGAGATAAGGGGTAAATATCTATATGACATTATATTTCACATGCAGTAGAAAAATACTGCCTCTAACTAAAAAGTTAAGGTCATATATTGTAGGTGCAGTGCACACTGTCTGGGGGATGGACACGCTTGAAGCTCTGACTCGGGTGGGGCAAAAGCAATATGTGTAACCTAAATATTTGTACCCCCGTAATATGC